TTAAGACGCCCTGGTTCTGTTAACGTTGGATAGCTCTCAGATCAATTAAATGTGTGAATAAAGTGTGAAAGAAGTGTAAATAAAGTGTAAAAAAAGTGTAAATAATTTGTAAGGGTAGCTGGCAGAAGTGTGAAATCAATGTAAATAAAGTGCAAATAAAGTCCAAGGAAAGTGTAAATAAAGTGCAAATAAAGTGCAAATAAAGTGTAAATAAAATGTAAATGGCCTCGCCCCCGGGGTTCGGGGCCCCTTCTGCAGCTGAAACCTAGGTTTCGCACTTGTTTTCGCACTTTTTTGCACTTTTTTCACACTTTTTCGCATTTTTCCAAGCAGAGCTGGCTTTTCGGAAAAAATAGTGTTTTTCCCTAGGGAAAATGCGAAAAAAAAAAGTGCAAAAAAAAGTGCAAAATGGCCTCGCCACCAAGGTTCGGGGCTCTTTTGCAGCTTAAACCTAGGTTTTGCACTTTTTTCGCACTTTTCTTACACTTGTTTCACGCTTTTTTCACATTTTCACAGGCAGAGCTGGATTTTCGGAAAAATAATGCTTTCCCCTAGGGAAAATGCGAAAAACATGTGGAAACAAGTGCAACTAAAGTGCAAAATGGCAGCTGAAACCTAGGTTTCGCACTTTTTTTGCACATTTTTCTCACTTTTTCCACGTTTTCCGAGCAGAGCTGGCTTTTCGGAAAAATAGTGTTTTCCCTTAGGGAAATGCGAAAAAAAGTGTGAAAAAAGTGCAAAAATAATGCAAAAAAATGCAAAAAAGTGCAAAATGGCCTCGCCACCAACGTTTCCCTAGGGCAAACACTATTTTTCCGAAAATCCAGCTGCGAAAAAAGTGCGAAACCTAGGTTTCAGCTGCAAAAGAGCCCGGCGAACCTTGGTGGCGAGGCCATTTTGCACTTTTTTTGCACTTTTTTCACACTTGTTTTCGCATTTTCCCTTAGGGAAAACACTATTTTTCCGTGAAAAGCCAGCTCTGCTTGGACAAATGCGAAAAAAGTGTGAAAACAGTGTAAAGAAGTGCAAAAAAGTGCGAAAAACAAGTGCGAAACCTAGGTTTCAGCTGCAGAAGGGGCCCGGCGAACCTTGGTGGCGAGGCCATTTTGCACTTTTTAAGCACTTTTTGTTGCACTTTTTTCACACTTTTTCGCATTTTCCCTAAGTAAAACATTATTTTTCCGAAAAGCCAGCTCTGCTTGGAAAACTAAAAATGCGGAAAAAGTGTGAAAAACAAGTGCAAAAAAGTGCGAAAAAAAGGTGTGAAACCTAGGTTTCAGCTGCAGAAGGGGCCCCGAACCCTGGTGGCGAGGCCATTTTGCACTTTTTTTGCAGTTTATTCACACTTTATTTGCACTTTATTTACACTTTATGTACACTTTATTTGCACTTCTGTGTCCTCTCAACCCCTTCCACTTACACTTTATTCGCACTTTATTTGCACTTTTTTGCATTTTATCTACATTTTCATCACACTTTCTACCCGAGGCTCCTCGCAGGCCTACACTTTATTTGCACTTATTTGCATTTCATTTGCATTTCATTTGCAAATAGATGATTTGGAGGGTTCCCAACCTTAGTAGAACAGCGGATCTCTTAACCTTAAACCATCAACCCAAATTATAAGGCGTTACTTTGACTCCATATGGGTAGTTCTCCAAATTAGGTTTCCTTTTCGCGAGCTGTTGGGGCTCAAGCCTCCCAGGGGCACGGCTGGAGCCCAGGGGTACCGATTGGAGCCATGGATACTCGTAAACGCAATTTCGATGCAATTTCGGAGGACATTTCTGCTCCCCACTGGGCGGACATTCGGCTTTTGTATGAGGCTGCTTCTTCTTTGGGGCTTCCTTCCCTCGAGGGTCAGGTCTTTCACGTGGCTTTGGACGGGCGCGCTTCATTTCAGGTTGGCCGGTGGCTGCTTTCGGGGCATTTGCTTGCCAGCTGGATGCAGGGCCAGTCATGGGAAGGCCCCCAGGGACCTAAGGTCGTGGTTGCTGTCTCCGAGGCGGTTTATTCTTCTGTGGCGAAGCACTCCGGGATATTGCGGATTTTGAAGGCCAATTTGGTTGAAGGGCAGGGTTTGCCTGTCATTGACACTTGCTCGGGCCTTTCAGTCGTTGCGGGGGCAAGTCTCCTGCAACGCTCTGAAACAATCGAAGTCGCTGAACTTTTCTGTGGTGGGTTCAACGGTTGGAGCCAAGGCGTACAAGTTATGCGCAGCTTCGGGTACCACTGTCGCACCAAGTGGCTCCTGGATACGGCACCGGAGTGTTTTGAGGGATCAAGGCAGATCAATCCAGGTCTGCAGCCCATCTTCGATCAGGAGCGGCTGTTGCAGGCCTGCTCTTCGCAGGACCCTGCCTTTCTGTGTGCCAACCTTGAAGACCTCTGGTGGCTCCAGGGGTTGGCCATCACAAGGCCACAGGTGGTCTGCATTTCTGCTCCCTGCCAGCCTTGGAGTGTAGGCGGTTTAGGCTCTGGTTTAGAGGCCGAGGATGGTAGGTTAATGCTGCACGCCTTCGGGCAAATGGCTTTCTTGCAACCACCGGTCATTGTTCTGGAGCAGGTCCCAGGCTTTCGCAAGCACCCGCACTGCGAACAGGTTCAGCTTGCTTGGACCCAGGCCGGCTACCGTGAGGCGTGGTCTGGCATCCTGGACATGATTGACGTGGCCCCCACTTCCCGGAAGAGGTTCTTGCTTGTATTGGTGCGGTCCGACCTGGAGGACACGCCTCGCCTGCAGTTTGAGTGGCCCGTGTTGCCACGTCGGCCCAGCCTGGGCGCTTTTGACTGTATCCTTCGCCTGCCCCCGGACATGCATGAGGCTTGCTTGTTGGATGAGCCTACTTTGGCCAAGTACCTTGACCCGTGGTTTCTGCCGCCACCGCAACACAACCACCCTCACAAGCAATCCCCTCGTGCCTTCAGGTTTCGCGGGCTCGCTGATCGGGCCTCTTGCTTTGTAGCCCAGTACCACTTCCAGCATGAGCTCTCTGATCGCATGCTAGAGCGCGCCGGCTTGTTCGGCGTCCTTCTTGAACTGCCTCATGAGGTCAGGTTTTTCAGTGGCGCTGAGGTGGCACTCATCCACGGCGCCATCAGCCCAATCTGGCTGCCCAAGGATGACCGCGTGCAAATGCGCTTGATGGGCAATGGCATCAGCATCTTTCATGCAGTCGTGCCCCTCTCCTTGGCTTTTCAGGTTATAGGCCCCCGCTCCCTTAGGGTTTCCACGGCCCAGGCAGTGCTGCAAGGTATGGCCATGAGGATCAAGGCAAGCGAGGCCGTTCTTCTTGAGTTCTCTGAGGGGTGGGTCCTTTGCCGCTCGGGCGCCGCGCTGCAGTCCTTTATTGAGGTCCACCACACTTGGGTGCCACGCCAGCGGTTGCCTGAATCAAACTTATGCTTTCAGCAATTCGTGTGTGCAGGCCAAGCTGAGCACTGTCACTTGGTTGTCAGCCCGGCGGTCCAACTGCCCGACCTTCTTGCTCTTTTGGGTCACGAGTTCCCAGCGGAGACGTACCAGCAACTGCAACCTGTGCCGGTCCCCTTGGACTCGGCCCTGCCTGCCACCTTTGACCCCCCCGCGGAGGCCCAGCTTGACTTGGAGGTTTTGCCCTCACTTCCCCTTGCGTGCGGCCACGACCACACAGGTGCTGACCAAGACTTGTTGCTTGTCATCGGCAGGCAAGCCTACTATGCCTTGAACAGGTCAGGGCCTCTTTTCTTCTGGGAGATGGCACAAACTATGGCCATGGAAGGCTGGCGCCAAGCCGAGTTCTTTGAGACGGACGATTGGTTTTCCTTTGAGGGCCATAAGATCCTTTGCAAGGCTGATTTGAGGGGCATTGTTCAATTCCGAGTGGTTGATTGCCTAGAGGACTTGCCGTGGCGGGTCTCCTTGGACCATCTGGCAAGCTTCAAGGTGTTGAGTGCAGCCGGCCCCCCCAGGGTTCGAATCTCGGGTCCTTCCACCTTGCAGCTCTGCCGTGAGTTCCCGATCCGTTTGTTCGCGGCCTGGGGCTGGATTGTTCAATTGCGGCCGGGCGCCACCAGTGCTCACGTCTTTGCCGATCTTGTCTTTCTTCCGGGGCGTGACCGCCTGCGCATTCCGGAGGCCCAGGTCTTGCTTCGGCTCAGCCGCCAGGTTTTCACAGGCCTTCTGCGCGCCATGGAACATGTTGCCCTCCAGGATGCCTCTCCCACAGTCGCTTGCAAGGTCCAGGTTCAAGGCGCCACCTTTTGGTTCGGTCACCTTCCAGCTGACCTCTCCTTCCAGGATCTTAGTGCCCTTTGGGATCAGGCTGCTACTGCCCTTGGCGTCACCCCCAGCCACACCGGATGTTTTCAGGCCCTCGTCTGCTGCCTGAGGACATCTCTCTGCGTGAGGCCACTTGTGGTCCGACTCCCGCTGGGTTCGTCAACAGCGGCGGCTGGCTTCTTGTTACTTTCATGCCAGAAACCCGAGGCGGCGGAGCAAAAGATGCTAAGTTCAGGGCGGCCCAAAAGGACTTGGCCCAGCTGCTCCTTGACCGTGGGGTTCCCTTGAACCCGGCTACTGGCATTGTCGATAAGCTTCTAGGTGCCGCAGGTGTGGCGCGGGTGCAGCGCGCGCTTGATCTTGTTGAGGCCACCAATCGTTGGTTGCAAATCCAGGACCTCGCTCGACAGTTCGCGGTGGTGATACCGGAGAGCGTACCCGGCACTGACAAAGCTCTCGCCTCTACTGCTGCTGAGGCTGCCAAGCGCCGGGCCAAGACTGAAACCAAGGTCAAGGCCTCCGACTTTGTGCTCCTTCCAGGCTTTTTCAAGAATGCTGATGGCACCGCAGCCACCGTCCTTAAGCAGCTCATGCCGGGAGCCAGTGGCGTCTTTCTTTGCGATGGGACTGAGGCTCCTCGCCTCCTCTCAACTTGGGCTGGCACCTGCTCGGATGAGTTGGGCTTGATTGTGTTGGGCCACTGCTGCCCTGATTCCTCCACTTGCCAAGGCCGATGTGGCGTGCCGGCCTCTACCCTCACAGGCGACCAGGTTCTTCTGCACGCGTGCTGGCATTGTCTAGGGCGTAGCCCTCTGCACATCAAATGTGACAATGATGCCTCCATCACCCTTCCGGAGGCTACCTGCATTTGCGTCACGGTTCACAGGGATGAGTTTTCTAGTCAAGAGTGGCAGAGCATCACCACCAACCCGGTCAGGGCTGTCGCCGAGCGCCTCAGAAGCCGAGGCTCCACCACTGTTCTGGAGTCCCCCTGGGGCCGCAGCTTTCGCAAAGATAATAAACCCGGGGTGCCAGGCGACTGCTCTTCTGTCCAGTTCCACTGCCGCATACAGAATTCTGACCTGCTGCAGCTACTTCGCGTCTCCGGCCACTCTGGTGTATACATCACACCTAAAACTTGGCAGGGTGACATTGCCAAAGGCTACGCCATTGTCTGGACCACAGGTGATCAGGAAGAGGCCAAGCGGCTTTCGCTTCAGGTCGCGGACCCTCTGGGTATCGTCCGCTCCAAAAAGCGGTTCGGCATCCGTGTCGCTGAGGCCAACTACGAGGCCACTTGGGCCACCGTCCGCCCGGGTGATGCCAGCGCCCCGCCCAAGGTTGAGGTCACAGGTCTTTACAAGCTGCTTTCGGCGCCCCCGCAACTTCGCGGCTCTGACATTCAGGACTGGGCCAAACAGATGGGCTGGACAGTACGTCCTCTGCGTTGCTTGAGCCCTGGTCAGTGGCTTCTGGGCTCAAACGGGCCCCCTCCGTCGGGCCTCTTGAGCATCAACCAACAAGTTGTGCTTGTGCAGCCGGTGGCGCCTCGCAGCTCAGACAAGCCTGTTGTGCAAGCAGGTCGCGCTCCTCGCGCCTCCCCTGCCGCCTTGCCTGCCCCTGAAGCGGAGGACCCTCTTGCTTCCAATGACCCATGGCGCTCCTACCTTTCGTCCGTTGGGCGTGCTCCGGCTGCCCCGCAGAGATCTGCCGAAGCGCCTCACCAGCAGCGTTATGACCAGCAGGAAACGCGACTCCAGAAGCTGGAGGCCGGATTGGAAGAGGTCCGCCGCGGCCACACCGCCATGGCCCAGCAGCTCTCGTCTACCCAGACTATCGTCGAGGCTCAGGTCGAGCAGGTCAAGGGCGATCTCAACAACTTCGCACGGGACTTCCAGCAACAGCTTCACTCCAACGCTGAGGCACAGCGTCAGGCACAAGCCGCCCACCAATGCCAGATGCTCGCCGGCTTCGATGAGATCAAAGCCATGCTTGCTGCGTCCCGCCCTCCTTCGGTGAAACGTCCTGCTTCGGAGGACTTGGATGGCCTATGACTACTGACAATTCCGCGAGCCCTTTTGGCTCGCACCCAACAGCACGGGGTCGGCACCTCTTTGGTGCCTTTGGGGTTCCGCCGTGTTGCCCTCCGCCAGGGGTCTTTCTTCCTTTGGTTCCAAGGTTTTCGTTTTGGGGAGGCCTCCAACCCTGGCCCTCCTCGCGCCTCTTCTATGGTTACCCTGGCTGTCTGCAACCCGACTACCATTCTTGATAAGGAATGGCAATTACAGCAGATCCAAGCTGATGTGCTCATTGCAAGTGAAACTTCTGCCAATGCGCAGGTACAGCAAATCATGTCTTCAAAGTTACGGGGATTGGGTTTTCGTTGTCTGTGGGGCGCTCCCACTGAAACCAGACACCACGCCGGTACGGGCAAAGCTATGTTACGCAGTTATGCACTTGGGGTTGCCCTCTTCTCCAAGCTGCCCTGTCGCCCCTCCGTTCAGGCCTTGCCTGCGCCGATGGACCTCAGTTGCCGCCTCTCCGAGGCTTTTGTCAGACTCCACTGCCTGGAAGTCAAAGTTATCACCATCTACGGGGTTCCGCGCTGTCTTCCCGAGGCAGCGGCCAAAAACGATCTTTTGTTGGCCTGGGCTTACCAACGGGCCACCTTGTCATGTGTTCCGGCGATTGTGGCGGGTGATTTCAATACCTGCCCCACTGAGCTACCTTCTTGGCAAGCGTTCCAGGGCCTTGGTTGGGTCGAGTTAGGCGAGTACGCTTCCGTGGTGCATGACTTGCACCTTCCATGCACCTGCAAAGGCGCCACCAGGTATGATACCTTTCTTCTGCCTCCTTCCCTTTTCCAGTTTTTCTCATCGGCCGATGTTTTGGAGGACAGCCACCTCTTCGACAGCCATGCTCCCATGCGGCTACACCTTCGCATGCCAGGTCTTGCGCCCTCCAAATGGCTCTGGCCCCTCCCGCGCACCTTTGAGGGGCTGCTGCTCAATGCTGATAACCTCGCCCCGGCCTACACAGCGGTCGGTGTTCCTTTGCGCCCGGCTTTTGCCCCTGAGGTCCCCGAGGTTTCCCAAGGCGATAAGTTGCGCTTGTGGTCCACCGCTGTTGAGGATGCCGTCTCCCGGGCCATCAAACTTGAACATGCTTCCCAGCCTCAGCAAAACCTCCGGGGGCTTCCTCGCTCTTGCCGAGGACGTTGCCGGCCGGTTGAGCGCAAAAAGGCTTGCCCGCCCCGACTCCCCAGAGCGGGCCGACATGGCGATCCCGAGCCAGTGGCCGAGGACACTTCTGTGCTGGGCCGCCAACGCTTGCGGCAACTCCGCCGCCTCACCACCTTCACGCAAGGCCTCTCTAAACATCTGCGCGGTGCTTTCCGGGGCCCCTTGTCCCCTGATGGCTGGCCGATTAGCCTTGACAAGGAGTGGGGCGCTATCTGCAGGGCGTCTGGTTACGGGGCTTCCTTCCAGCGCTGGGTTCTCCAATGGCCGTGCTTCGAGTACTACCCGCTGCAGCGGCCGGAGCTTGCTTTCGTCAATGACCTCACCAGCCTGGTTAAGTTTGATGTGGATGCCTTGCAGCGCCAAGCGGTCGCAGTCAAGTGCAAGCTCTTCAAATACCAACTGCAGGTTGATGCTTCTGACTTTGGGGGCTCCAGGAGCTTCGTTCGCATCCGGCCGCCCGAGAAGCCTCCCTTCACATGTGTTATGCTGGATCACACTGCTCCGGCTCGCCTCCTCAGACGGCACACCTTCCAGCTCTGTACCTTTCAGGTCCGCGACAGCAAGCCTTTTGAGTTACTCAGCCAGGTTTCCTTTGCCCAGGTGCAAGGTCAGGTGACTGATTCCCAGGCCGAAACTGTCACTGTGCTCTTCCCAGCAGATGATGACATAGTTCTGCCCTCCACGGGCGAGCTGCGACGCCTCCGTCACGATTCCTCTTGGGAGGGGGTCGTGGGTTCTCTCATGGCTTACTGGAGCCCCATCTGGAATCGGGAATCCGCGCAGGCCGCCTCGGATCTTGAAGATTGGCCCAGCTATTGCAATCTGGTTCGCCTCTTGACCAGCCCGTGCTCCCACATAGCCGTCAACATGTTGGACGAGGCCGCCTGGCTACACGTCGCCCGTAGCCTCTCGCCTCGCAAGGCAACCGGTGTTTGTGGCTGGCACAACAAAGACCTCAGGCTGCTTCCTCGTGATGCCTTAGTTGACCTGGCCTCCATTCTGGACCAACTCCTTACGGCTGGTTTCCCGGATTTCCTGATGAAGGCTCGAGTTGCGGTCCTCAGCAAGGTCACAACCCCGGACAGTGCAGCGCAAGCCCGGCCCATCACCATACTCAGCTGCCTTTTCCGCCTGTGGGCTCGGGTCCTTTGCACTCAGGTTCTCCAGGCGTGGAGCTTGAAGCTCCCGCGGTCCATAACCGGTTGCATTAAGGGTCGCTCGGCCCTCGACCTTTCTTATGAAGTTCAAGCCCTGGTTGAGGAGAGCCTCTGCCAGCAGACTGATTTATCAGGCTTCTGTTTGGACTTGCGCAAAGCCTTCAACTTTCTGCCGCGCGCCCCCCTTGAGGACCTTCTCAAGCGACTGGGCTTGCCTGCTTACGTGGCCTCTGGGTGGCACCTCTCCCTGGCTCGGGTCACTAGGTCTTTCCAGATCCATGGCAGTCTGGGCCCTGAACTGCCTTCTAGCACAGGCGCTCCCGAAGGTGACCCCACATCCGTGTTGGGTATGATTGCTGTCTGCTGGTTTTTCGTCGCGTTGCTCCAAGGGGTGGTCTCCCCAAAAGCCTACGTTGATAACCTCTCTTGGTCTTCCGACGATCCAGAGAACCACGCCCCGGCCCTGCTCATCTTGGAGGACTTTCGCCAGGCCCTTTCCCTTGAAATAGACTGGCATAAGACCTACCAGTGGGCTACTTCCTTGTTGTCGCGCAACTGGTGGCTCACGATAGGGGTGGACTTCCTGCCGGGCGCTGTCTGTATGGTGGAGACTGTCAAAGAGTTGGGCTCCTACTTCCAGTTCACTCGTCGCTTGTCACGCGGCCCCTTCTTGCAACGTGTGCAAGAGGCTTTGCAGCGCCTCTCCAAGCTCGGCTCCGATCCCCAGGGCCTCCCCACCAAAGCTCAGGTTGTTCAGGGCGGTGTGTGGCCCTTTCTCTTTTTCGGTACCGAGGGCATCGCCCCGTCTTGCACCACCATGCACAGTCTGCGCAGCGCGGCCGCCCGGGCTATCATTGGCAATTACCATACCCTGTCCCCCTTTGCAGCTCTTGGCTTCCTACAGGGAGCACAAGATCCAGAAATTTTTCTCTTGTGCCACCATGTCAGCCAACTCCGGCGTGCTCTTGTCACCTCGCCGTCTGTAGCCTCTCAGGTCCTCCGCCGCTTAGCCGGCCCGCCGATTAAACATCGTGCAGTTTGCGGGCCCGCGGGTGCTTTGCAGGTTCTCCTCCACCGCAATGCCCAGGGCCTCCGGTTACCCAGAATCGGGGTAACCAGATTGGTAACCCAGAATTTAGGTCACCATACCCGAAGAGCCCAAGAAGCAGGAACCAGTTCCAAGCCCACCCTGTCACCAGTGTAGAATATCGACTTTACACAGTTCACTGTCTTTTCCTTTGATTCTGTATACATTTATGAAGATCGTGTATAAGGAATTTGTACATTTAGGCTGTCTTTACCTTGTGTTTGTGTGTTTCTACATACACTCTATATGGTTTCGCTTGACTTTTGGGATGGGATATACATGTACATGTACCTGTAATAATATATATATATATGTACGTAGCATGTATGTGTGTATAAGGGTATACACATATACACTGCATGTGTATACACTCTGATGTTCATTGCAGTTGTGCGCCCCGACGATAAGTCCTGGTTCAGCTCATGGATCGGCAGTCGATGTAAAGAGGCAACGACAGCACTGCATGGCAACATGATCAGGATGTGAAGGGTGGCAGTGATGTCCTGTTGCCATGCAGGCCTTTTGGGTCCGAGTGATGATAGTGTGTGCATATATATGTATATAGCTAGAGGTTGGAGTCGTAAATAAGGATCGATGCAATGTGTGTGCATGCACTCGTCCCTATGTTTTGGGCATGCTGCGGGCTCGTGTTCGGCAGCATCTTCGAGGCCGTGCAGGTGCGTCCTCCCCCAGAGCATGCATGCATCAGTGGGCTGTTGCAGGCTGCATTTTGATAGATCTCATGATCTGGTGCAAGAATTCATGATCCATTGGTTTGCAGATATAGGAATATTTCGCAGGGTTTTGCTTCGAGTGTAGTGCACGTGCCTGCATTTTGCAGTGCACAGCCCGTTTCACGAAATGGCTGAGCAAGCAGCTGGGGAGCCAGAAGCAGCAGCGCCAGCTGTCTCCGTGGCCAGCACTGATCATGAAGATGAAGAGCTACTCATCCAATATATATTTGTACATTATTATACTGTGCAGTTTATAAGACTTGTTGTGTTCCCAGGTTGCAAACTCTTCGTGATGTCTTGGATGTGTGGCTCAACGGTAAAGATGACGACGGAAAACGAACCTTGCTTTCGAAGATGCGGCGGGCTCAGGACCGTCGCTTGGAGTATCGAATCTACTAGTGCTTGTAGTACGTATGTGAAGAATCGGTTTATAAATATTTTGAAAACCGGCAGGATAATTCATGCTTGAAGCTGGTGGACTATGTCTCCGAAGAGGCAGTGCAAGAGGCAGCTCCAGTGCTCCGAGAGCTGTATGCCAATTTCGGTGTAAAGCAGCCGGTGCTCACCAAATACAGAGTTGCTTGTATGCAGCATTTGTGCAGTGCTACCCGGCCCACATGTGATGGTGATTATAATATATATACACGTATATGTCGATGTGCTACACACATATGCTTCCATGAGGCTGCCTTCCAATGGATCCAGGATGAGTATGCTGTCCTGCCTGTGACAGCATTGAAGAAGGAGATCCAGGCATGTTCGGTGCAATCTTGTGTGGAGTTTCGGGGTTTGGAGATCCACGGATTTGTCTGATATTGTGTTCGATGTGACGAGGCGTGGGTCGAGATCCAAGCAGCTACGTTGAGAAGCAGGGCTATGTATGGAATCCGACTTTGGAGGAAGACTCCCAATAAATCACTGTGTCCTGGCTGTGTACGTATGTATACACACATTCACATTTTCATGATCTGTGCTTGTATATGTATGTAAATATAAGGTCCAAAGAGCTGCAGCTGTTGAAAGATATCCTGACACTTTTGGCGGCCGAAGTGGATGGTGGGGATGACGATGGTGCGAGCATTACATCTTCGGATGCGGGCTCAGGTGCCGAGGATTCCGCAGGTGAGGAGTCTGCCCCCGGCAGTGACATTCCGTCGGTTGCTGATGATGCAGCATTCCAGGAGCCAAGTTCGGACATGGATACATGTGAGACACAGATTCCTGCGGATGTGCTGTCTATCACGCAAGAACCGAGCAAGAGAGTGTTGCCTCCGGTGCCAAAGTTTGTCGGGATTTTGCCCCATACCCGGGCGCCTGCAGAAAGCCCCCACCCGAAAGATTTGGCCCCAAAGCCTGAGATTGCAGTGACCTCCGAGGCCCCGGTAACAGCCTTAGCCCCAAGCTGCAAGCTGGAGCCGAATTCCGAGAGCGCGGATTCCTGCTTGCCGGGGCACTCGGTGA